AGAAACTCCCTCTCAGAGCTTAAGAAACCATTTCTCAGGTATATGTTTTCAAACACACTATTCTTGCAAAATATGCAGTTCTTTATGGTTTTTCTCTGAGGCTGTCATGTCAGAAGCTGTTATAAATGTGGACCGAGATGCCACCATTTTGTGCTCGAAGCCAGGCTGTTTGTAACAACTGTCTCAAGAGTTCTCACAGGCTTAATGAGCTGGTAGCTGCTTGTTCTGGAAAGGCAGGCAATCATATGTGTCTTTATCTGTTCATTAATCTTCACCATTCTCAAGCTGCTCTTCTCTGGCAATTCTTTACCCCTGTGCCGCATCATCTCTCCCTCACATGTGATAAATAAAAGACAAGAATTTCAGGGCTCTTACATATTGTTACTAAAGCTAATAATGAATCCAAATGTTGGAAACAGTTTCTGAGAGGGGTTTTCTCTGTAATTGGATGTTGTCTCCTTTGCCCAGGGTCACTTTAAGAGGCAGAATCCTAAAAAAAAAAAAAAAAGAACCACCCAGCCCCCCACCCTGATCTATACTTATATAGTTCAATCTAACAATCTATTAATCATAGAGACTTACTACAAAGCAAAGCGATGACATGTCTTTAAGCACAGCTTTCAGTTGTACCTTTTATGTGCTGGGAATTAATAGACTGAAAGCAAAACCAACTGGTGTCTGACTTGTGAAACCACAAAGAAATTAATTTTACTAACATGAAAAATCTTCATGTAATCTTACTGCAGAGTACAGGGCAACTCCAGGGGGGAGGAGAAGCCATTGAAAACTGCAGTTCCACCACAGCGGTTGACCCCTATTTCTTCAACTGGATTGGGTTGGATCTAGGTTAAATTTTCATTTCGCACAAGGCACTTCTGTCAGTGGAATATCACCTTCCTGCATCCTGCCGTCCCACTGTAGCCCACTCATCACCCAAAATGCTCCTCCAATGGGACAGGGAACTCTTGGGAACAGCATGAGGGGCAAATTGGAAGAGAGGATTACTTGAAATTACCCTACACCTTCCAGTAGCAGAAAATTTAGTCTGGATCCAAACCATAACCTTTTTGATTCAGAAGAATTTCTTAAAAGCTGGCTCAGCATTGTAATGTTCATGTTCACACTGATGATAAATCTAAAACTCATCTTCCAAACTCAAGGAATAAAAGCATCAGCAGCCACAGTACTAAACACTATACTTACTGTTGCACCTTCAGCATTTCTATACATGGTCAGAACGGTTATACATGGATCCACATCTGCATTTAAAAATTATTTGTAAATGGAAGTGAGAGAAGAAAAGAGAACCTAAAAAATATTTTTTTTCACATTTAACATGCAGAAGTAGTTTAATACAACTGCACATTAATTTCAGAAGATGGTTATGGGATATTCCTAGATACATATTTGGTCCCAATACCTACAGTCCATAGCTACTGCTGATCTAACTGGCAATAACCAATGCTGTTGTCTAAATTAAGGATCCTAATCAAACCATCCCATTTTAAAATTAGAAAGCCTCCTACAATGTTATACTTCATTCTCGTGTATGTCCATTTACCCCAAAGAGGGGGGAAAGAATTAACACTGAGACATCTGTTTGAGAGACAAAGGTACATAACATCTTGGCATTCTCTCTATCAGTTGGGTTTTTTCCTAAAAATGAAAAGATTGCTGTGAATTGTTATTGAAAATACACATTACACACAGTCACACACATACACCCCCCTCAAGTGTATCATACGTATGTCTCTTTTAAAACATGGTGCTCTGAGTTAAGTTAAGCAGTAACACAAGCTCATCTACAGCAGCATCCTAAGCAAAATGAAGTGTGTGACTCCGCTTAGGAAATCAAGGGTAGTTTACAGGGTTTGTGCTGTTCTCACATGGTGAAGGCATTATTGCTTTCCCACACTCCATAACATCAATCATGATAAGGGTTCATCATGCAAGCCACCTGGATCCTCATTAATTCTTTTTTTATTGAATATAAATTTTTTTCAGTAAAAGGAAAGTTGAATCAAAGCTGTACAAGTTCATCTTCAGTTCTATATAAACAAATCACTCCTTGTGCATTCACATGGAGTGTTCTTACACTACCATATGAAGGTGACACTGGTCTTTTCATGGTATGCTCATTAATCTCTTGAAAAAAGTACGTCATAATGGCTAGTTTATTTGGTTAATTTCAGTTCCAGTCCAAAATGACAATCCACAATCTAATACAAAAATCTTTAAGTAACAGTGGTAGTTCCAGCTCCACCAATTTCAACAAATTATATATATTATCACAACTAATTCTTGATTACCATGTCAAGCAGAGAAAAAAATACCAATAAAATGTATGGTTGTTTACTCTCTGAATTGGTCAGCACTGCATTAGCTTCATTTTTAAAATGTTCTTTTGTGAGTCAAGACTTCTGTCTTGAACAACTTTTGATAGCTGAGAACAATTTGTTTTACAGGAAGAAATAAAAACAAGTAGCATTGAATTTGTCCACAAAAGAGCATCATGTTCACGATTCTAAAACAATTTTCAAAATTTCAGTAAATTTATTGGGTTGGATCCTACAGAAGTGTCTTTTTCCTCACCTCCTATTGCCAATAGCCGTTTCCCTGAAAAGGCACTGCCAGAACTTGGGAGACACTCATAGGAGGAAAAAGACATAGGTCAGGCGGATGCACCAATGGAACCTCCATCTTATCAATTTTCTTGCTTATATTAGTTCCCTGTTGAAATGAATGGAGGAAGTACGGCAGCAATATTTGATGGACACCATTGGATCTATACAGTAAATAATCATGACAAAGCCAAATAGCAAACATTATCACAAATTCTTTTATATTACATATTTACACTCATACACTCTTGATTGAAACAGAGAGGGGGAGAAAACCTACCTGCAATGCGTATTTTGCACATCTCGCTATAATACCCTGCCCCTGAATCTTACATGATGAAGCCAGGATACTCCTCGGTTACTGGGACGATGTACAATACAAAACAGGGTTTATAACCGAGTCCTTGCTTGCCGAAAAATGACTAATTGCAAAAAGGTTTTCTTTTTAAACCCTCTGTATCTTCCATGTTGATATCACAGGTACCAGCAATGGTATAATTAAAACACAATTTCAACTTTATATTAATGAAGCAATGTGCTAATTAAAATCAACATCAACTGAACTTTCTATTTACACTTGTTCAGATAGCCCAAGAGGCAAGGAACTCTGCTTTAGAGGCATATGTGAATGCTGGAGCTTCTGTCATCCAGGTGCCATTTCTGACAGAACACATGTTCTTGGAACAGTTGGCAGTGAATGAAAAAGATGACTGCTGATACACACTCACGGAGGAGCCAGGATGACACTGGAATAAACTCGCAACAACAACAAGCACCTTTTGACTGCTAACTTTGATTCATAGATTTTGATCACACAGCTGACTCTAAATGGCATATCTATATATCTTTATACCTATCTATCTATACACACTGTCTCTCTGTGTATCTGTTAGGGTTGCCAAATTGTTTTTACCTGGCGGCGGGGGACTCCCGTTCGGCGGCGTCAGCGCGCGCCGCATGCACGTCATCCGGATGTGACGTGATGACACCGGGCACGCTGTGGGCGGGGCCACAGCCATTTGAGGGGGAAACTCTGTTAACTCAGTTAACTCTGTTTTCCCCTCAAATGGCTGTGGCCCCGCCCCCAGCGTGCCCGGCGTCATGTCACATCCGGATGACGTGCACGCCGGGGTGGGGTTTCCCCCGGGGCATGATTCCGCCGCGGCGGAAATCGGGCCTCCAAAGCGGGGTGAAATCCGCCCCCTGGGGGGGATTTGGCAGCCCTAGTATCTGTACATATATGTGTGTGTGTGTATATGTGTGTATATATATACGTATGTACTCTACATATACTCTGAATAGAGAATATATATATACACACTCCATATAGATTATGTGTGTATATACTCTCTCAGAAAGAGAGAGAGAGAGAGCGCAAAAAATATCTGCAGAAAGATATGACCATATGTACACCAAACTCTCTCATCTTGGGGAAAAGAATACTTTCCATTCAGCTGGTTTACCTTTAGAGGTTTTGGAGTAGAGGCTTTCTTGTCTGGTTCTGGCGTTATATGTGGACATGCTACTAGGAAAAATTTAGTTTGTTGTCAGGAAAGAAATCCAACCCTGGCAATTATATGCATCTACCAGAACCAGGGCGGGGGGTGTTTAATTATTTTCTCATATTCTTTCCTAATGGAAGCTTGATGTAGCAAACTCAAGGGGGTCTATGCAAACTGTTGAAAACTCTACAGCTAGCTTGGTTGATGCCAGCATATGCACCAGTAGAAGCTTGTGAGTGTCTTATTGCTGGTCAGGATTCTATTGATGCTTTGAACTCTGAGTCTTGGCACTTGGTGCTCATACTTTTCAACAAAGACCAATGGCCACATCTTGAGCATGCTTCACTTTTCCACTGCAATCAATAAGACATCAGACAGACTTAGAAGGCTGTAACCCTGTTTAGGATTATACTGTAAGCACCCACCTTGGCTGCATTGCAGCCAGTATTTTACAACTGCAGTCTTACACAACTGTAACAGAAAAATGCAAGGGTATATGCAAGGTTTGCTCTAGCCACAAACAAAACTAATGCTGCCTGATATGAAGTTTAATTGGGACTTCAGAAGTGTTTGTGATGGAATCATCCCCGTTGATAGCATTTTAAAATTCCGTTCTGTAATTTAACTCTGTCCCTTTCGGTTTGCATATATTTTGTGGTTGCGGTATGTTGCAATCTTTCTTATTCTTTTTTCTTTATAAATCAATTTAATTCACAGATGATTGCATAGAAGTCAAGTCCTTCAAAACAGCAATCCTAATAAATGCAGCAAATTATCTTCTGGAATAGAACATTTGTTATCTTGAGAAACAAATATTACAAGAGTCACCATAAGCTGATACAGTTTGAATAGCAGAAGAAGCTTGCTCTGTGTGATTCTTTTGAAAAACTCTTCAAAGTTGACTGAGCTATTATCATGAGTAGTATTGGCCTTTGAATGGCTGGAACTGATTCATGTTATGTCCACTTCAGCGAAGAGACAGTTTGTTTGCAATCTGAAGGGGTCGAGATGATGCTTTTCCAGAAGAGAGTTGAAGGGGGGGGGGGGAATAAATCTGCTAGTTTTCATCTTGATCCAGATCAAGGTCAACCTCTTCAGATAATTTCAGATAAAAGAAAGCATAGCAAGCCAACAGAAAGACCAATATAGCTGCAAGGACAAGGCTGACTTCCTGTACCAATGGAAGAATAATAAAAAATGTTAGATATAGCTGACTTTTCAGAAGCATATCATTTTTTTGTACAGACATCCACAACAAGGGACAATGCAATTCTCTCAATGGCTTGTGTATCCTAAAACCAAGACAATGGCTTGTATCTATCTACACCTATCCTTGTGCACTTCCACTCATTCATTAGGGGGGATAATTTCCACTGGTTCCCAGTACCTGCTTAACCCCCCCCCCCGAGTGAATTTTGAGGTAAGAAGGTGCAACAAGAAGGGGAAGGCAACAAAGCCATGTTCTGCGAGAACTCCACCTTCAATGCACTGATTCCAAGTCAATGATACCAGTGCAGATTTATCAGTGAGCTATATACAGTAACCCTCTCTATGATCCATTTCATCTAGTTTAAAATTATATATGGTGCCCTGACCTGGATAGCCCAGCCAAAGCCCAGTCTCGTCAGATCTCAGAAGCTAAGGAGGGTCGACTCTGGGAAGTACTTAGATGGGAGACCTCCTTGAAATACCAGCAGTTGCAAGGTGGGGGCAGGCTTTATTCAGCCACCTCTCTGAATATCCTCCAGGCCCCCAATACAACTATAATTATATGTGGTGTGCAAAGCGACTGGGGAACCAATCACAAGTCTTCCTTCCTCATCTAGGCACCCAGATACTCATCTTCAGAGGATGCTGCGCACGCACATATACACAAAATACAACTATAATTATATGTTGTGTGCCGTCAAGTCGATTCCGCCTTATGGCAACCCTATGAAAAAAAAATCCTATCTTTATCAAAAACACAAACAGAACTGTTCACACTTTTTTGAATTACAGATCATGACTTTATGTATAGAAGAAAAACACCAATAACCACATGGACAATATGCAACAAGGCTTTTTGTTTTTTGTTTTTCAAAGAGATGTTGGAACTTTCAAGAGGGAAATGAAGTTTTCTGTCTGTATACTGAAAACTCATGCACTTTTAAACATTTTTTAAACAATTTTGTCAAAGAGGTTCTGGAACTCCACTCTGGTGAGTTCCCCCAGAAAAAAAGTTTAAAAGATTTTGATCTGGGCAGATAGCTCCATTGCTCAGAAGGATCCAGTGTGGTGTAGTGGTTAGACTGGGAGACTACCCACTCCGCCATGGAAGCTTGCTGGGTGACCTTGGGCCAATCATACACTCTCAGCCTAACCTACCTCACAAGGTTTTTGTGATGATAAAATGGAAGAGAGGGGAATGATACAGCCTGGGATAGCCCAATCTTGTCAGATCTCGTAAGCTAAGCAGAATCAGCCCTGGCTAGTATTTGGATGGGAGACCTCCAAGGAATACCAGGGTCACTACACAGAGGCAGGCAATGGCAAACCACCTCTGAATGTCTCTTGCCTTGAAAACCCTATGGGGTCACCATAAGTCAGCTGTGACTTGACAGCACGCACAGATACACAATGATGTAAGCTGCTTTGGGTCCCAATTGAGGAAAAGGTCGGCATAAATGAAGAAAGAAAGGAGAAATCACACTGCAGGGTTTTCAGTCACCTGTCCATAAAGGATAATAATTCAAAGAGCAGGTACATGAAAAATCATACACACACCCCCCCCCCCCCAGCAGAATCTTTCCAATAGTAGCCCCTTTTCTATGCTACATTTACAAACTGCTTTTGACATTTCCACACCTTTAAAAAGCAGCTTGCCATACTACATGTCAAACAGGAATCAAAGTCCTTTGGGGACATATGGAACTTGTTGCTCAGACCGAGTTGCAGGAAGAACCTAGCAACAGTGGCATTACATGCATTAGCATCCCTACACAATCAGTCAGTATTCAGCAAACTTTTTAAAAAGCTATTTCAAGCCAGAAGCCCTTTTAGCACATAGTTTTATGTAATGTTAGAAGGCTGTGATCTGGCACCAACAAGCTTGACCCTAAAGTTGAAGTGCATAAATGAGTCTCTTGGGACTTGGAAGAAGATCCTCTTCTGCTGAATAGCATGGACTAAGAATTCTGACATGTGCATACATGCGTACACTGTATAACCTGCACCTATTTTACTGCTTCCCAACGATTTAACTTTTTTCCCCAGATGGCATGTCAATTCTCTCTGCATAAGTGGTTATGCATGTATTCAAGTCAGAAAGAACACCAAGAGCATCATTCCCAGACCTTGAAAGAGTTAACATTCTTCCATCGACTTAAGTAGAAAAACAAAACAGCTCCTCCATAAAGCAAGGTTCTCTTGAACATGCTCTTCATTTGCATTTACATTTGCATCAGTATGTGCTACCTAATGCACTTCTCAGATATTATGACTTCTTTTGGCTACAGTTGGTGGCAGATAGCACCAATTCCCATTTTCACACAAATCACCTGAACCTACAGTTACTTCCTTCAGAATCTTGATTTGGAAAGACAAGAAACATATACAAAGATATTTTAAGCCCTCTTCTGCTTTTGTCTAAGGAAAAAACAAGAATCACATTGAACTAATTCTATGCAAAGCGACTGGGAAACCAATCACAAGTCTTCCTTCCTCATCTGGGCACCCAGATACTCATCTTCAGAGGATGAACCAATCTGCCCCCGTAATAAGTTGCTGCAGAAGAATACCGTGCATTTTAGAACATGCTGTGTTAACTTGACTGGGTCAAATGCTACAGCCCAACAGACTGCTGCCTCAGAATGTATCCCACAATCTGTTGCAAGAGGCACACATCTCATGACAGATACCGAGGGGGTCCACAGCAGATCAGGGAATACAGAAAGATAAACAGAACTCCAGTGGCACTTTAAAGACTGAAAATGTTTATTTCAGCATGACCTTTCGTAAGTCAGAGCTCTGGCTCACAAAAGGTCATGCTGTAATTAAAGTCTGTTAGTCTGTAAAGTACCACTAGGTACAACAGACTAACGCAGTTAACTCCTCAGGAATTTCTTTGAGGACAGAAAGTTTTGAAAAATAGTGGCACATCTGATTAGGTAGGAAAGAAACACTAACAAATGACACTGTGTATCAAAAAAAGATGAGACACAGGGGTGGGTTGGTGGGGATCAGTGATTTTCACAGTGATAACTTAGCCCTGCAGGACCACTATTCAGATCCAGGAAAGAGTTTAATCATGAATGTCCCCTCACAGGTTAAAGAGCTAATAAGACAAAAGACAGAAGCTTACTTCCCCCCCTTCAAATGGTCACAAAAAATGCAATACTGGGGGGGGATCATTTGTAAATTAATTTAGGGGTGGAAAGATGACCAGTGCTTCCTGAATAGGGTTACACCCAGTGTTCCCTCTAAGCTAAGTTAGTGTGAGCTAGCTCACAGTTTTTTAGTCTCCAGCTCACACATTTTTGTCTTAGCTCAGGAAAGATGGCTCCAGAGCAAACTAATTTTATGCAGCAGCCAAACTACCTGCTCACAAATTTAATGCCAGTAGCTCACAAAGTAGAATTTCTGCTCACAGGACTCCACAGCTTAGAGGGAACATTGGTTACACCCTTCTAAATTTATTGAAGTTATGGGTGGCTCAGAGGTTAAGATGCCAAAGCTGCAGGTCTGTAGCTCGGCAGTTCGTGACGGAGTGAGCTCCCGTCTCCGGCCCCAGCTCCTGCCAACCTAGCAGTTCGAAAGCAAGAAATTGCAAGTAGATAAATAGGCCCCACTTTGGTGGGAAGGTAACAGCGTTCCGTGCGCCTTGGCATTTAGTCATGCCGACCACGTGACCACAGAGATGTCTTTGGACAGCACTGGCTCTTCGTCTTGGAAATGGAGATGAGTACCGGCCCCTAGAGTCAGATTCGACTAGCTTTCAAGCAAGGGAAACCTTTACCCTCACCTTTTTATGGGCTAAGGAAGGTATAACTCTGCTTGGGATGGCACTGTAAATTACCTCTGCCCTCTCTACACAGTTCTGATATAAACCAGGGTTGTATATGGCTGAAATTGCTCTTTAAAAAACACAGAATGATCCCTGATCCCCATCTCATTTAGTTTGGCTCTGTGACTATGACAATTATTACCCATTATGTTCATGGTCAGCTGAGTCAGTTATCATGTTTGTCCATGAGAGTAACTGTGGGATTCCTTGCGTAAGAGTAAAATCACCTGGATGAACTGTGATGAAGCTGATTTTTGATAATGTGCCAGTCTCTCTGAAACAAATATTGTTCATCCTTAAATTTTATGGAAAGGAAAGTTCTGTATGGTGGAACTGAATGATGGTCACAGTTACGATACTTATACTAATTTTGGTTAAGTAACAGAAAATGGTTTCAAAGAAATTTACATTAAGATGCTCAACAGATTTCTGTACACTTGGAAAAAGCACACACATTCTCCAGACTAGCAGTCATCCTATGATATAGAGTCAAAAGTGTCTGGTATTTATTGCCTACAAGTTACTAGGCTGACATTATCAACATAGATAAATATCACTCTTCAGGGAAATTAACACAGTATTAAATGGAAACGACTAACTGAAACTTTGTTCCTTTCAATCCAGCATGAAAATGACAGGCAATCAAAATCTGACAGGATAGACTAATTAACATGCCACTTATGAAATCAGAAGTACCGCAATGGGGTTGAATTAGAAAACTTTAGTGCCAATTTGCAGGGCGGGGGGAATGCTGCATATTTTTTAAGAACAAACTTTGTAAATTCTTAGTGCAAACTATCTCCCTGGTGGAAACTCAGTCTAGATCACTGGATAAATAATAAGCAAACTTAGAAGACTGGTTAATTAAGTCAATTTCTTGGAATTACACTGTGATGCTCTTCTAAACCTAGAAGATAAGCTACAACCTTCATTAGGTACACAATTTATCTACATATTTGGCTCCAATTACATTTACCTATCCTAGTCCTTTCCATTTTCTACTTCTTTAAAAGTGATGAATTTCCTGTACAAATAGCTCTATCATGTACTAAAAGGCAGACAAAATTGTGTACAGATGGATCATCATTTGTTATTTAAGACAGCCCATGTAAAAATTCTGCTGCTGG